AGTATTTTCTGTCGATTATACTGCGTTTTCTAGTAGTGAGATCTTCAAGTATGCTTCGATTAGTTTTCTTTACATTTTCCTTGACGACTTCATGATCCCATTTTGTATATCTAGTAAACTAATTTGTTTTATTATTGATTCAATTCATGAAATATTTTTGCAGCAAATATGACCTGTATAGCAAGAGCAAAGTTCTTATCGATGTTGAAGCAGTCAAGCCCTACTATCTTTCTCTTATTGAGAAGGTAATTAATTATTCAGAAATGCTCTTAATTTTTAGTCCGGATTGACAAAATAAAATTACAGTTTTTTTTTTTCTTTTGGTGCAATAAATAAAATTACAGTTTGATAATAAAATGTCCAAACTGCACACAACAATAACTAAAAGGGACAATTCTATTGATTATAAGTAGAAACATCGTAATTGTTTCTTTATTTATTTATTTATTTATTTTTTTTTTTGTTTTCCTTAAAAACCTATTCATGATATTTGGTTGCATTATTTCCCGGCAAAGCTCAAGTGGTGAAGAATGGAAGTTTAATAAGATATTGAGAAATGGAAGCTTGCTGTGAAACTGTAGGGATTTGGAGGCGTTAATTTCTGCTGCACTGGGAAAAAGAGAGACAGCTAATTTACTAGTCTTTTTCAAAAAAAATTTTTCCTTTTACCACCAGCTGATTTACTCATTTCAATACTACAAATAGTTTAATTTAGTTATTATGAGCTGTAAAATAAATAACAAGCTGGTGTATTATTGTTTAATTAATAAATTGAAATATGTCCTCTCCCTCTCTTATTTTATATTCCATTTCCTATATACTTCTCATTCAGTTCTAGTAAACTATTAACTCAAATTCATAATTTCTATTTTTATGTTTTATTTTTAATTATATAAGAAAAGATAATTTTTTTAATACATTAATTCATTTTACTTGCATTATTAGGTAATTCAAATTTTAAATTTTTTTATTATTTATTAAAATAAAATTATCACTAAATCCTTCAAGTAATTTTCTCACAAGATTCTTGTTCGTAGTTGAGGGAAACAAAATAAAAAGAAAGAAGAAGAAACAATCGATAATCTTTCATTTTCATTTCCCAAATTCCCTCTTTCTAAAGCCGTGGTTAATTTCTACATTAAAAAATAAGAAGAAAAAAAAAGATGTGGTTTAGTTTGAGTATTAAGAAGTAAGTGCAGGGATTTTACACGCTTCTTCGGTTCTTCTGAATAAAATTGATGCGAGAAAAGTAGAAGACCAATAATATTCAATTAAATAGGGGTAAAAAAAATTAGTTGCCTTCCAATTTTCAAGGAATTTTCTCCCTTTCTTCTATTTTTATGTAAATTCACCTCCAATCATGGTTAACACCACCTCATTTTTTCGAAGCAAAAATGACTACAGTTTCTGGT